TTTTGAGATAGAAAGATATGGGAGAAGCCTCATATGTATTGAGCATTAAGATAACAAGAGATAGGGTTCAAAACTTCGATGTTTATCTCAAGAAAATTATTTAGAAAGTGTTTTAAAGATATTTAAGATTGAAAATTGCAAGCCTATAGATACACTTATTTGTAAAGGCATGAAATTATCAAAGAAAATGTATCCATTAAATGATAGTGACAAAGCTGAAATGGAAAAAATTTCATATGCTGAAGCTGTAGGATGCATAAATTATGTCATGTTGTGTACAAGACCTGATTTGAGTCATGCATATGGTCTTATAAGTAGATTTCAGAGTAATAATGAGATAACTCATTGATACTCAGATATATTCAAAAAACTAAAAATTATAGGTTGTGCTTCCAAGCTGACAACTTAGAGGTTACTGGGTACTGTGATGCAGATTTTACAAGAGACCCAGATGATAGAAAATCAACCTCATGAATTGTATTCCTCTTTGGAGGTGGATGTATTTCTTGGTCTAGTAAAAAACAAGGTTGTGTAGCTCGGTATACTATGGAAACCGAGTGTATTGCTTGTAGCATTGCTACAACTTATGTCATCTAGATTAAACGCTCCATAAATGATTTAAAGCTGGATATAGCCGACGGACTTGTTAAATTTTTTTATGATAATCAGGCTACTATTTCATCAATTAGAAATGGAGCTTATAGTTCCAAGGGTAAGCACATTGATATTTATGATATTATTGGAAAGAATGAAATAGATGTAAGTTATTTGCATCTTCAGATATGATTGCAGACCATTTAACAAAAGGATTGAGTACAGAAATATTATCAAAGAATGTAGCTTTGATGGGACTTAGAAATATTTAAGTTAGGAACTCCCAAATGGGATATTTTTTTATGTTTTGGTCATAAAAGGAAAAACCGTATTAGCGTGAAAAACCATGACATAACTTTGGATTTTTTTTTTTATGAGATGTATAACCGCACTTGCGTGAAAGCCTCATAACAAAAATATGCACATAAATGTTAAATTCATTAAGTAGAAAAGACTTTATGATATTTCAATATATCTGGCCCTCATGGCCAAGTGTGAGATGTTGGTACGTGTATGTAGCCATGGGGCCTTTAAACGTGCGATATTTCTCTATCTTATAATTTAATGTTTATCACTAAAAGAGGGAAGCTTCTTGGAGAGAGAAATTGGCGTTATCTAACGGCTAGCAAATAACCACCCACTTCCCAAGATTACAGGGCCACATTTTCTCAGAGATTTCAGGAGGAAGCCGAACGCTGGAGAATGACCTCCTCCATCCCTCTTTAAGAAGGGTTTCATGACTATGGAGGGGGACACAGAAATTTACAGAGTTCTCATAGTTCTGGTAAAAGCCTGATCTCTGCAATCGATAGTCTCATCTCTTCCCTCAAGATTTCGACAGAATAAGCATCACAGATAGCATGGTTGAAGCACATCACCAACGACACACCGCCACAGCAGAAGCGGCTAACTTATACTATTAAGACGACAACCTCCCTTGGGGGCGATCTGAATGGATCTACAAGCGATAGTTTGTGCAACTCGTTCACCAGAGTGTGGTTTAGCAGCTCGCATAGCTTCCCCTCAACCTCTGCTTCTTTAAACTCGACATCCTCATCGTTGCACTCAATATAAGCCGCACTGCCATCGTTGCCGAATACAGTCCCAAAGACCGGGTAAAAAATAATTAAAACATGGGGCAATGAATTCTTCAATTTGCAAGCATAGTCTTCTGATTCTCCCTTTTTCGTGCTCTCATGAGGTAAAGAGTAAAAAAGGGTAAAAAGAATATAGACAATTGGAATGAATTGATCTATCAAGGAAGGGTTCAAGCGATGGCGGTGAGGAGGAGTTTCAGAAGATGGTTGATGGACAACAATCAAATATATATATATGAGCTCCTGCATGGGTACGTGGTGCGAGTGAAAGTTTGGACGTGCACGTAGTGCCCTCCAAGATGCTACAATATTTTCGTTCATAGGCCTAAAAGCTACCAACTATATGATTTTGGTCAGATGGTTGAGTGTATTTCTGTCTATACATCTTGATTTTTTTGTTGTAAAAGCTTGTTCGATATGAAATTTGGAGGCTAAATATGCCTCTTCTCCCTCCCTTTGCAACTACCTCGATCCCCATACGAGTTGGTAACTGATCACATATGCTACCACCACATCAACATAGATGACGGGTATAAATTTTGATAGAGTAAAATAACAAACCAAGATTCGTGTGGTGGATTCCATATAGTTCGAAAAAGACTCTTATGATTATCTTATATCCAACAAATCCAATAAAAATATAAAAAAAATAATGACTAAACTGTTCCTACATTATGTAAGGGTGTAAAATATTTTTTAATATTTTTATTGGGCGAATGTGGTGCGTTGTGTATACGCCCAAAAGTTCATGCTTATCTATGATAAATTAACAATGAAAAACTATTACATGCCCTCAACCATCAGATTTTTTATCAGACTGTCGTTACGTAAGTGAATTACTGGAGCATTCCTCTCATGGGCATTTGATCGGGGTGATGGCCCATATTTTGTGGCTTCTAATATTTGTCAAAAAAAAAAAAAAAAAATTATGATATTGAAAAGGAAAAATATTCTACTCTGGTACTCAAATATATCGTCTACTTACATGCTAAGAGATGCAACCAAGAGTACTAATCTAGTTGGGTAAACTTTTATTTATTTTATTTTATTTATCTAATTATAAACCTACCTGTAAGAGATGCAACCAATAGTCCTAATCTAGTTAGGTAAACTTTTAATTTTTTTACCTAATTATAGCCCTACTTATGGGATTTTCTATGGGATGAGGAATATTATAAAATACTATACAGTGGGAGCACCTACGTAACCCTTTAGTTTTAGTCACTATCAAATCCTGGGTTTTAACCAGTAAAACTAGGGTTTTGGTCGAAGGTTTCCTGGTAGTGTTAGCAATGTAGCACGGAGGAGAGTGCTTGTGAAGCCGGTGCTAATTCCAGGGTTTTAAGTGGTCTAAAATATTGGGTTTTGTTTAATATGTTACAAAGTAAGTCATGGAGGAGCGAGGATATTAGAAATTCTAAAATCCTATTCCCAGGCTTAAAGGTGCGTACCATATTGAAAGATGGTTGCAATGAAACTCAAGTTGTTTATTGTTGAAAGGCAAGAAAAATATGTTTTTCTTTTTCTTTTATTTTATTCGAATCATCAATTGGTTATCTAATTGCTCTTTTATTGCTAAAGCTTAATTCCTTTTACTGTCTTTATTTATGGGTTTATAGCTAGTGAAGTTTGGTGGTTTCCTTCGTTTAAGGATTTTTTGGATCTATGATGCATTTTCCATTTATGTACTTTATTAGGTATTTCAAAAATCAGTTAAAATGCATTTTCCGTTTATGTACTTTTTAAGGTATTTCAAAAATCAATTCTCAGGTTTTTTTTAATTCTTTTTAAATTTTAGTCATGGTCTTTGTGGATAGTTACGAAAATGGGGCTTTACCAGTTTATGAAGATTAGAAAGGAATTTTTCTGGATGTTTTACGTAGTGAGTTTATGTTTGTCATAGTTACAGTTAACCATTAATTGGTTTTACAATTTATTGCAAATGGTAATGAAGTCAGTTTGTGAAGGAGATATGGTATCCCTTCAGTTTTTTTTTTTTTTTACTAGTTCAGTGTTGGAAATGCTACTTCATATCAAAGCATGAGTTTGGGTTTTGTTTTTTATATCATATTGTCTCTGTGGAATATAAATAGATTTTATTTAAATTAATTTCCTTATCGTGTTCGACAAATAGCCATGGAAACAATTCCTTGCACCCTGACAATGACAAGTTAAAATTTAATGTGTTTGCATTATTCTTTTTCTTGAAAATTCTTTTTCTTCTCTTGATATTGAATAGTTACAAGAGATTCATCACTTTGCTCTTGAATGGTGTTATGAAAATTTTAATGGATATTCACTTAACTTTGTCAAGTGTGTTTTTATGGGCTAGGAGAGAGAGTGACTGAATTTGATCGTCTTCAATCCGCTCTCAATGGAGAGTCAGCTGTGCTGTTTTGAGAACATCTATATTTAAACCCTTGGAAGAGCATGCTGCTAAATTTGAGCAAGAAAAACTAGATGTGATGAGAGGGATCGAAAGAGGCTTAATTTGTCCCTGTCCTTGAGGGCAATTGAATTGACACTCAAATGTCACAATTGAAGAAACAGTCATGAAAGGGCAGGGAGAACCAGAAACACCTAAGGTTCGTATGATTCACTTTCTTGGCTTTGCATTGTCTCCAAATGTTATTAGTATTTCATCATTTCCTGCTGTGGTTGTCACACTCTCCTCCCTCAATCTGTGTCCATCACTTCATCAAATAGACATAAGCCTAATGGACCACGGTTTTATATAGTCTATTGAATATGACGTGTTTTCCTTTATTTTAGTGTACAAGTTGTTAGTAACTCAACCTAGCTATAAAGATGCATCTCTCCTTGTGCCTCATGTTATCATTCATTTTCTGTTTATTCTTCTCATCACCTCATTTGCAGGCTTCAAGTGCTTCCAGATTGGCATCACCTCAACATTGGCATACAGATGGAGCTAGTTCAGATAAGCTCACCATAGATCACAATATAGACACACTTATTAGATGCTTCAGAAAATCTCATATCAGTTACTTTCAATTGCGCCGTATAATGATTGATATGGAATCATCTAACAAGAGCCATGAAGTTATAAAGAGAGCAAAGAGTATGTTGGCCACAGAGTGGGACTATGAGTTGGCTGCATTAATAGAAGCAGATGCTAAGAGTGATGAAGTCATTGCCAGATTGGAAGTGCAGCTCTCAAAGCATGATGCACTGCAAACTGAAGTAGTAGAGGGGGCTGCACAAAGTGTGAGAAAGTGGGTTGAAGAAAAGGAGGCAGCCTTAAATGCAGCTCAAAAGCATGTCGCTACTTTGTGTAACTTTTTGAAGGAGGCTCAATGTGAGATAGATAAGGCAAGATCAGAGGCATCGAGGGCACAAGAGGAGGAATTGAGAGCACAAGCCAAGGTTGACGATCTAAGTCATTATTTAAGGGAGACACAAGAGGAAGCATCTAGAGCAACTGCTGAGGTTAAGGAGGCTCACTGTCAAAGAGAGGCAGCTCAAAAGGAGGCATTAAGGGCAAAGACCAAAGTTAAGGAGATGGGCTTTCAGATATTGGCAACTCAAAAAGATTCATCAAAGGCACAAGCCAAAATTAAGGAGATGGGCTTTCAGATAGAGGAGGCTCAAGCAAAGGAACAAAGGGCATTGGCCATGGTTAAGCAGGTGACCAAGGTGGCCCAAGTGGAGGCCTCGAGGGCTCAGGCTGAAATTCAGGAGGCACATCGTCAAATAGAAGGTGCGCGAGCAAAGGCCTCGGCGATGCAAATAAAGGTTGAGGGGGCGCAATGTGAGACAAAGGCAGCTCATGCAGAGGCATTAAGAGCAAAATCCGAGGTTAAGAAAGCACAAAGTGAGACAGAAGCGATACGAGCAGAGTTGTTAAGGGCACAATCTGAGGTTAAAGAGGCGCATTGTGAGATGGAGGTGGCACAAGCAGATGCATTAAGGGCTCAAGCTGAGGTTAAGGAGGCACTCTGTCGGATAGAGAAGATGCAAGATGAGGCATCAAGAGCACAGGACGAGGTTGACAGGCTTAGGAGGGAGCTTGTAAGTGTTTGTTTTACATATTTGCAGGAAATGGAATAAAATAATAATACAAAGGATATAAAAAATTTAATTAATTGCTTTTACATTTTTTGAAGGAAATGTTTAAATACTAAAAGAAAAAGTATTTGGGGGAGTCGGCCGACTCGCCTGTTTACCTTTGCCCCTGAAACCCAAAATTTTAGGGTTAGCTAATTTCAATCATGAAGATGAGGATTCAATTTCCAAAAAAAAAAAAAATGAACCATGAAGATGAGGATTTTCTTTATGAAAAATAAAGATGGTGTATTTTGAGTTTTTATTTTTATTTTTTTTCCCACGATCTATTTTGGTTTAGTGGAGGCACCATTTTTTGATGTCCATCTTAGAAAAGGATGTTTGATGCATGAAGAGACACAAAAATAGGTGAATCTGACTCACCATCACTGGATCCATATGAAAAATCCATCTGATTATGGCAATACGTGGTCATAGGTAGTCATGGTTCCGTAATGGGTTGAAGGGTGATCTTGGGAAAGGTGCTCATTTATAACATTTCACTCTTTAAGTTGTTTGTCTCACATTCCATCGTCATCTAACCCATTGGTGACGTGGTGATGACCCTTATTACCATGTCTACAGTGTTACACTTATTTGAATTTGACACTTTTACGTCATAGGCCTGTATAATTGAAGGAATGAATGAGTTAAAACAGAAAAAAGTGAAGTTATCACTGACAAAGTGAGTCCACTGTTCTGAAATCACCTAATATTTGAGTAAGCTTGAATCTAGCAACTCCAATCGAGTCAATTTGACTTCTTAAATATGGCAATCAACTGCATTATTGATCTAAGATTTATTTTCTTTGCAGAAGAATGCAAAGAGCCAAGCAATGTGGGTCAGCTGCATAGATCACATCAGCCTCATTGCCGAACACAAGGGCCAGAACTCAGCATTATGCCATGCTCTTGCTTGCTCAGAGGGCAGATTGGGGACCCATTCAAAGAGCCGAATTCTTTCTATGAGTGAGACACAACAAGCCATACTGAGCTCACCAACCCACAATAGTGAGGAAGAGGGTCCATCTTCTTCAGTGCCTTCAAGTGAAACCCAAGTGGTAGACCATTCTGTTGCCATTTTGCCTGAATCGATGCCTCATTTGCTTTATGATCAAGGTTACTCTCAAGATATTAGAATGGAGGCCTTTTTTCCTAAGTCAATCCCTCATGTTTTTGAGCATTATGGTGACTCTCAAGGTATTGCATTGGAGGATATTAGCTCTGAGTCCTCTTCCTTGGGGAAGAGGAAAAGGGCTAATTAACCATATTACCTTGTCTTTTTTGCCTAAGTATACCATAGTCTAACTATCCAATGGATTACAGTAATGTGCCACCCATAATTACAGTTCTTTGGTAGGGGATTAATTGGAATAATGACTAGAGACAGGGTCCAGTTAATCTACAACCCATTCCTCAATTGGAAGCAGTGGATATAGCCTTGGGATGTCATATAGCATTGTCCATTGGACTATCTTATTTTGAGAGTAGAATATACTTCTTTGTTTCTTTACAATGGTTCAAACTTTTGTATCTGAATTAGATACTTCACTAGTTTTGTACATATATATGCTTTGTATCTGACTCATATACTGTACATTTTGTACATATATATTTGCATAATATATTATTTTCGTCATTGATCACAAGTATGCCTCAATAACATTGGGATATCTTTCTTTTATTGTAGCATATTTTCCCTTTATTTTCAAACAATTGAACAGAACATCGTCTATCTAAGATATGTTGCATGTTTTTCGCAGACATTGTATAAAATTTCATTTTGGTCTTTGATCATAGTAAGCATCTAATTGATGCTTTGCAACCTTGAGAACATTTGTGAGAGAGACAATAATAGAAAGCCAAAAGCAATTAAGCATATTATAATTTTTAGGATCGGTTTTTTGTGTGCTAGCTAACGGAACTTATTCTTGTGTCTGATGAATTTTGGGTCCAAAATTTTCCAGCTCGGTAATGTGGAGTTCACCTTGATAATGATTCTGGAGGGAGACAAAAAAAGAACTTAAAATACTTTTAAAACTAATCTATTGTGAACTTCTTTAAACTATTATTTTTATTATTATTATTATTATACAGATGACCAGATCTATGCTGTTTTTTGAGATTCAAAATCATGTATGTAATGCAGAAATATATTTGCAGTGATTTAGGATGGGTTTTAGATCCTAAATCCTAAAAAATAAAGGCGGAGGCATGTGTCCAAGGATGTAAAATGAACTCCTCCTAATTGTTATCACTATTTGTTTCTTTTTTTTACAAGAGTACTGATATTTTATTAAGTCAGTAGTCTTATTACAATCATAACAGAAACTAAAATAAAGAATGCCAAACCGCTAAAGAGTCTAAGAAAGCTCCCTTCTTATCCAGGTCATCAGCAATGGAGTTCGCCTCTTTATACACTTGTTCTCACTATTAGAATCCATAATCAATTATCACTGTTCAAACAAATTCTTGACATGACTCATGAGTGGGGTTCCCACTAGTGCATTATGTTATGATTCTTTCTTTCTTTTCTTATTTATTTATTTATTGACTTATTTATTTTTTAGTTGTTTAGTAAATAGGAAGTGAACTTGAAATTTAGCATCGTGCATGTCAAATGCTAACCACTCGAGCTCATGCCAAATTCCTAGAGATAAGCCAAACCCCTCATGAGGTTTTACAAACTTTTATGTAGTTATAATAAAAAAACAGCATTGCTTTACACAGTTGTTCATCGAAAAGGTCGTGCTTTACACTTTACTCTCCATCTTGATTTTAGGGAAATAAATCAAATTGCCCATGAAAGATGAACAATTTAACACCCATATGATTTTGAGTTGGAATAGTTTGAAATGGGTAGAGTATTTAATAGTTAAACTCTTTGCAAATGGGTAGAGTATTTAATAGTTGAATTCTTATGATTATTTTGATAAGGTTCTCTTGATTTTAAAGGCCAACATAATAGCCTTTGGCAACCCTCACAATTTTATGGGATGGTACGGTTTCCTAACATAATCTCCAATTAGAACCCACGTATGCTTTACACATTACTGCGTAGAAGATAAAGAAGCTGGACTTTGTACTATTTCGAAATAATAAATAGTTAAATGGTGTAAAAATGATAAAAAGTGGCAGTTTCAATCAATAAATTTATCAGCAAGGTAGTTACTTTCGAAAAATCTTCTGGCCGAAGTACTTCCTCATGCCGATTGGAACAAATGAGGTATTTCGGTCAAATGACCAATCAAATAATTCGTGTCAAGTCACTTAAGATTTCCATCTGATTTAGGTTCCAAAATTGGTACAAGTGTGTTTTAGATTTGGAATATGGAATTGGAGAAGTTACAAGTATTTATATCATTTAGCTTGGGTGACCGTTATGACCAAATTATGAAGATTCCCTCATTTATTCTTGGGTCCAAATCCCAAATGAGATTTATTTAATGAAAAACGTTTATATAGAGCTGAGGCTCCAAACAGTCAAATTAGAATCTACCTCAAAAGTTTTATTAAAAAAGGTTATTTTGATGCCCAAATATCCTCAAATTGATCATCTCGACATCAAGATGCATGGGCATGAGAAAAAAATTGGATTTCAAGTTTTTGAAATAATGCATCTTCAAACACATTTTTGGACCGTCAATTTTCAAGACTTTCAAGCTTTCGTAGATCTGCTCGATTTATACTATTTTTATAGCTTTAAGTTTTTATAATTAAAGAGGAAAATATATTTTAAGGCTATCACAATGAGTTCCAGTATTGAAACCACATTTCTCGATACTATTTGAAGGTGTGTTTCAATTTGATTGTTTAGAGCCTCAGCTCTATACAAACGGCACCCCTTAGATAAAGTGATTTATGTGAGTCAAATTACGAAAACGGTCTTTTATTCCAGATTCCAAACCACAATAGGGACAATCTAAGTGGTTTTCCCACAATTGTTGAAGAAATACCTAATTGAAAGCCTGTTTTTTTTTTTTTTAAAGTGATCACTCTTTGTTAGTGAAGTGTACGATTTTTTATCGTTTCATTAACTTTTCTAAGGTGTTTTGACTATTTTTGCTTCTTCTTCTTTTTTTTTTTTGCCTGTAATCTAAACATTATGTTTTGCTTTTGGAATAAGCCAATCACTAATCCGAAATTCACACTTTGCTTGCACATTCCTAAGGGTCTGAGTTTAATCTCACTTACCTAAAAAGGCCCACTTAGGTTTAGACAATCATTAATAAACTAATAAGTAATAGGGATAGTATACTATGAGACCGCTTATTTTTGTTAGTCATAATTATTTTTATTCATTAGATGTCAAATTGGATGGTTGGGATATATCACAAAGTTCGAGATTTTATTTTTTTTCTAAACTCTAAGTTTAATCAATTACACTCTTACAATCACTTAAGTTGAAATATAATGGACAAGAGTGTTTGTGACCTATTTGTACTAAAAGATCTCCTCGTATACTTTCCCTTAGTAATAACCCTGAGAAAAGAGTGTGTTCCCTTCAAGAGGGTGAGGTGTGCCAGAGGCTGGTTACCGGGATAGACATGCAACAAAGACAACTTGTTTTACGCATTCTCAACCATCCATTGTAGACGATAAATGGATGAGATGTACCATTCCTTCCACCATGTTCATCAAAGAGAATAGAAGTTCATCGGCTACCCTTTGGCTGAAAACTTACTGTCGTGGTGCTGCATGTATCATGGTAAACTGTATAAAATGCCTAATGGACATGACATATTTGGTTATTTTTTGTTTGTATTAAGAGAATGTCATATGTGCACCCATGTAATTCTTTTTGTTTGTAATTCTTCAAGACTGATCAGTCATTATGATTCCAAGAGCATTTTGGGTAAAACCCTAAGGGCACTTTGAGAACTAATTCAATACCTTCAAACAAAAAGAGATTTATTTTCTCTCATCATTCTCATAGGCGCCCAAAGTTTCCCATGGAAAAAATTCACCTAAGTCAGCGTTTAATATGAGAGAATAAGATATATGAAAAACATCAAAAAGGGGGTTAAAAACCGCTTACAATATCATTAAAGGTGGTCAAAAGATCGCAAGTGTACGCTTTTTAGTTTCCATGCCAATTAGGTACTTACTCACAAAAATTGATAAAATCCCAAATTGCTTATGTTTGTTAATGAGAAGTCATAACGTTGCTTTGATAATTTAACTATAAAAGAGGCCTTGACCGAACGAAAAGAGTACCGCTTTAGGGTAAAATTACCAAAATATCCCGAATTCTCTTTCATTCCAAACACTGAACAACAATATTTTGGAAAAATTTTACCATTTTTTGAAGAAGTGTCATATTAATCTAAAAATTTAAAAGCATACCCTCAGAAGTAATTTATAATATTTTGATTCTTTTAGTAACATCGGTAGGGATTTTAACCCCTTTGTAATACTATTATGTGTCAAATATGTAAATATAGAATTTAACCAAAGTTGAGAAATGGTTTGAAGGGTCCAAGGATTTTCAATTATCAATTTCAGCAGGAGATGTTGGAACCTAAAGTAGTTCGAATCTAGGGTGTTTGAGTACAATATCATAGATGGGATTTGGAGATGAGAAGAAAAGCGAAAAAATGATAGATTTGGATAATGTGAAACTCTAAACTGCATCATCAATAAAAATTAGGTGTCAGTTGGATTCTTCTTTATTTCTTCTTGGTCGTTTGACATGCCGTAGAAAATTATCCATATTTCTTGTTCCAGTTAGTTATTTGGGTTTCTAGTTTCATAAACATTTTCTTATATGTTTTTTTATTTTTATTCCTAGAAAGTTCTAAAGACTATTGTGGTTGTAGAAACTCGTTACGTTTTCCTTTTTTTTGGGCTTTACGGGATTTACGTGGTTCTATAGACTTGTTTTGTTTTAGTTTTAAGATTTTGATAGCATGATAGCTTTGAGCTTTAGCAAAGTGAGGAGCCCTATCTCTCGTTCTTTTTTTTTTTTCTTTTTTTGTTTTTGTTTTTGTTTTTGTTTTTGTTTTTCTTTTTGGTGTTGGTATGTATGGGTGGCCATGGGACCTCATACATGCTATTTTTTCTCGCTTTAATTTTTATCATATAAATAAAGGTCGTTTTTAGAGAGAAGAGTCATCATCTAACGGGTAGATGATAACTACCCACCTCCCACGATTATGGATCACATTTCTCAGAGTTTTTAGGAGAAAGCCGAATGTTTGATAACGGCCTTCACCATCCCCCTATAACTAGGCCTTTGATGGTCATGGAGAGGCATACGCATAGAAACTTTGGGTTCTCATTATTCAGTAAAATCCTCTACTCTGCGATCCTCAGTCTCATGATACCACTAGTAATCCTAGGAGTTTTGGGGTTCATCTGTTCCATAACAATCCAACATTTTTCTTTCTTTTATTGGTATTTATATCTTATTTTTCCTGAGTTTAATTTACAGTAACCTAGATATTGTGCTTTGTCATTCCCATAAATCTTGGTGTTAATTTTTTTTTTCTAATCTTAAATTTAACAATCTCAAATTTTTAACTCCATTCTCTTTTTTCTCTTTCATAGTCCGTAGACACCAGCACCCCTATGCATGCACTCCCTCCATTGAAATCCCCATTCATATTCCCA